TTTGGAAATCGATTTGGCACTTCCTTAAAAAGCTAGAAATAGAAGTACCATCCGATCCAGCAATCCCCCTCTTTGGAATATATCCTAGAGAAATAAGAGCCATCACACGAACAGATATATGCACACCCATATTCATTGCAGCACTGTTCACAATAGCAAAGAGATGGAAACAACCTAGATGCCCATCAACAGATGAATGGATAAACAAATTATGGTACATGCACACAATGGAATATTATGCAACGATAAAGAAAAATGATGAATCTGTGAAACATCTCACAACATGGACAAATCTGGAAGGCATTATGCTGAGTGAAATCAGTCAGTTGCAAAAGGACAAATTTTGTATGAGACCACTATTATAAGAACTCAGGAAAAGGTTTAAAAGCAGAAAAAAAAATTCTTTGATGATTACAAGTGTGAGGAAGGAGGAGAGGGGAATTCACTCAGTAGATGACAAAAATTATCTTAGGTGAAGGGAAGGACAACACACAATACAGGGGAAGTCAGCACGAGTGGACTAAACCAAAAGCTAAGAAGTTTCCTGAACACAGCCAAACACTTCAAGGGACAGAGTAGCAGTGATAGGGGTCTGGGGGAACCATGGTTTCAGGGGACATTGACATAACAAATTTTATTGAGAAAACGTTCTGCATCCCACTTTGGTGAGTGGCATCTGGGGTCTTAAAAGCTAGCGAGCGACCATCTAAGATGCATCAATTGGTCCCAACCCACTTGGAGCAAAGGAGAATGAAGAACACCAAAGACACAAGGAAAATACTAGCCCAAGAGACAGAAAAGGCCACATAAACCGGTGACTCCATCAGCCTGACACCTGAACCGGATGGTGCCCGGATACCACCAATGACTGCCCTGACAGGGAACACAACAGAGAGTCCCTGACAGAGCAGGAGAAAAGTGTGGTGCAGAACTCAAATTCGTGTAAAAACACCAGACGTAATGGTCTACCAAAACTGGAAGAACCCTTGAAGCCACGGCCCCCTGATGCTGTGTTAACCCAGAACTAAAACCATTCCCAAAGCCCACTCTTCAGACAAAGATTAGACTATTCTAAATAACATAAAATAATAACTCGTGAAGAGTGTGCTGCTTAGTTCAAGCAGATGTGCAAGTCCAAATGGGTGGCTTCTGTCCGGAGGCAGGATGAGAAGGCAGAAAGGGACAGGAGCTGGTTGGAGGGATACAGGAAACACGAGCTGGAAAGGGGGAGTGTGCTGTCACATTATAGGGACTGCAACTAGTGTCACATAACAATATGTATTTAAATTTTTGTATGAGAAATTACCTTGAGCTATTAACTTTTACCTAAAGCACAATAAAAAAAAAAGAAAAAGAAAAAAAGACTTGATGAAATGCAACAAAATGAAAAGATAATATAGCTAAAAGTTTGTAAAGTTGTTGTCTATAGAGAATAGAAATAGGAGATATGGAAAAGTTCAACAATGGACTGTTGTTAAAAGTCTTATAGTAATATATGACTTTTAAGACTATGTTTATGTATTACTTTAACCAAAATAAAAATTAAATTGAAAATAAAAAAAAAGAATTAATTCCAAGCAAAACTATGGCTTCCACTCTGGACACTCATTATACAGGTATGCAATAAACAGCATCAACCAGAGTTACTGAGAATAATGCACTGTTCTGGATTTCAAAATTTAGCAGAGACCAAGACATAAACAATGACATATTGTGTGATGTGTCATGTAGCTCAGATCTTGTGGTGGAGCAGAAGGTAATAGCATCTTGGACTGTTTCTAGAAAGTGATGTTTGTGCATCACAGGCGTCCTCCACTAGCTGGCAGGTGTGAGACAGGTCTTCACAGTGGTGTGTTTTGTCCTGAAGTCAGGAGAGAACAGAACATATTGCAGGAGTGCAGGTAAGTTGAAGTTACCAGAATTTAGGGTATGTAATGAGAGACTGGGTGGTGCATATAGTTGACGGTTAATGCACTCGGCTGGTAACTGAAAGGTTGGAGGTTTGAGTCTACCCAGAGGTGCCTTGGAAGAAAGGCCTGGTTATTTACTTCTGAAAAATCAGCCATTGAAAACCCTACTGAGCAGTTTCCCTCTAACACCCATGGGGTTGCCATGAGTTGGAGATGATTCGAGGGTAATTGGGTTTTTGGTTTTTTTGTACTGAGTCACTGAAGAGTCATCTGAAGGAGCTCCTACTTTTCCATCAGGTTTTCTTTGTGAAGCCTTCTCTGGTAATAGCTCAGAGCTAGAGGTCCCCCTCTCTGTGTTCCCATGACTTTTTTTGTATCCCCATTATTGGACTTTTCACACCCAATTTAATTGTCTGATTTCCATATTTGTCTTGGGATAACCAAAGATAGGACTATATCTCATTTCCTGTCATAAAGTCTAGAAAACAGTAGGTGCTCGATACAAGTTAGCTGAATACATACATAAATGACTGGCTGCTAGATGAGTGAATGATTATGCACAGTTGGGGACTAGAAGGTCAAGAAATGCCTTAGCTGTCAAACAACACTTCCTAAAACACTAATGGTTTGATTTTTCTGTTTCAGATTACTTGCAGCATATAATAGCCTTACAGATAAACACTTGGCTGGATATTTTAACAATACAAGGATAAGGCAGCATCTCTTAAGATCAGGACTGGTAAGATTTGATTTACTTTCTACCCACCCTCTTGTTTCATTAAGTCCAATAATTTCCCACATTCTTAGGTTTCCTCTTTGAGCTGATCAGTGACATCTCTTTTCTTTTCTCGTTTTAGAAAAATTACTTAGCTTTCTAAAGCTCTGATTTATCTGTTTGAGTCTGTGTTTCAGAAGATGAGGAGAGAAGTGACAATGACTGCTAAGGAAACATAAATTATTAAGAAAAAGTCCTTATAAGTTTCCAACAGGCTATTTCATTTGCTTGTTTATTCATTCATTTATTCAACACACATTTATTGAACATATTCTGTGAGCCAGGAACTGTTACTTGCCTTTTTTAGGGAAAAGAAATTGTTTTTAATTTTTTTTCAGATTTATTGAGGTATAATTTACATACAGTACATATTTAGTTGTACATCTCTATGAATATGACAGATTTATAGAGTTGTGTAACCACCACGACAATCAAGATACAGAACATTTCCATCACCCGCAAAAGGTCTCTCACGTCCCTTTGTAGTCTATCCCCTCCCTCCAACTGTCGGCAACCACTGATCTTTTCCAGAATGTCATATGAATGCCATCATACATTTGTAGCTGTTAGAGTCAAATTAATGTTTTTAATAATCATAGAATATAGTGTGGAAGACAAGAACAGCTCAAAATTTCCCCTTGAATTTTTAAAAACTCATTTCCTGTGGTGGTTTATCAATATATTCATGCCTTTCGTTAGCCTTCAAGCTGTCCTTTCCATACAATTTCCATTTCTCTTAAGTATATATAATGTGAAAACCTTTTAAAAATGCTGTAGTTTTCCATTAAAAGAAAGATGTGTGGTTGTAGAAAGTGTCTGACTAATAATTTTAGCTGTTTACCTTCTTGAAACACAGTGGGTTTCCTTAACTATTGTTGCCATGGTTTTGAAAGGCCATGCATTGCATTTCTAATTGTTGTTTATGTGCTTGGCACTCTAGCTGGGTAGATCTCAAAGAGCTTGCATTTAGACTCCTGGGGTTTTCTTATCAGACAGACCTGAGCTGAAACCCTGGTTCTGCCATTTACAAGACATAGAATCTTGAGCAAATCACTTACTTAACTTTCTCAGCCAAAGCTTGCTCAGTTGAAAAATGAGGATAATGATACCCAGCCCTCAGGATTGTTGTGTCAATAATTGGTTGTTGTAATTATGGTTGTTATTATTAACCTTCCTCTTTGGATAACAATCTATCAGCTTCAGGTATATTTGGTGAGGACTTTGTATTTACTTACCAGCATCATTAACAAACACTTTTTGAATACTGACTATATATATGCATGGCAACTCAAATAAGGAAGATACCACATTTCCCTAGAGCAGTGTTCAGATGTGGCCCCTGAGCCAGCAGTGTTTGGCATTACCCGGGAACTTGTTAGGAAATGTGAATTCTAGTGCCCCACTCCAGACCTACTGAATGGGAAGCTCTAGGATAGGGCCCATCAATCCCTTTGTCAACAAGCCCTCCAGGTGATTCTGAGGCAGGCTGAAGTTTGAGAATCTCTGTCTAATAGGACTTCCATTCTGGCTGGGAGAGCAGACATACTCCCAGAGGAGAGAGAACGATGATAGGTGTAAACTGCCAAGGGGGTGTTGGTGCCGGATGTTCTCAACACTTTTTCCCAGTTTGGTACACACGACATGATATCGCCATGGTCAACACATTTCAAAGGCTGTAACTGGATTATCTGTAATTCCAAGCACACTTTCATCTACACCCCTTTCTTCCATTGGAAATGTTTGTATTTATGAAAACAAAGGCTATCAAAAACGAACCGCTTGTAGCACAACTCTAGATGATCTCAGCACTCCAATGTGTTGTCACAACAGTGTTGAAACTACAGTTATCAAATTTAAGAACAAAATCAAGAAGAAACATGAGGGTTTGAATTAGTCCTAAAACAAAGAGAAGGGCTTCAATAAGTGGAAAGGAAGAAGAGCAATCCAGAAAGAATAACACCCTCCGTTTATTGGAGATATAGAAAAACATAACACATACGCCCAAAGAAAGGATAAAAAGAAAAGAAAAATAAATAAATAAAAACCAGAAATTGTGACTCCTGGGACTTGCACTGATGCCATTTGAGACCCATACCGGACACCTCCTACCTACAGTACCCCATAACCTGGAAGATTTCCAATCACAGCAGATGAAATTACCTTTGGGGCGGGAGAGGGGAAAGAAAACCAACATAAAAGGAAAGTATTAAAACCAATTAGTTTTTTTTTTAAAAAAACAAACAAACAAACTGATGAGATCCTTTATAGCTTACACATTTTGCCCTTCAAAATACTTCCTGTGAGATCATCTGTCCTGTGATCACTGCTCCTGTTCATTGTTTCCAGGTAGCACTCCACCCGCTTCTTTCCCGAATGCCTTCAAAAAGAGGAATGAAAAGAACACCTGGGTTCCATCAAAGGAAAATTGTTACTCTAATGAAAACCTTGTTTTAAACGTCAAGTGCACCACCTGTGTGTTTTCACAGTGATGGGTATATGAGACTTCCTTGCTCCTTTTTGCCTAATGAAATATTCATTAAAAATGAAAGTTTATCAACTGTAGTGCTGTTCTCCTTTAGCCTTAGAAAAGAAGATTCTGCCGCTTTCTTTCTCCTTCTCTTGCTTGCCCTCTTTTTTGGCAACTAACACCACATTTTCTATTTTGTATTTCTATGTATGTTTTATTTGTTCATGAATGACAGATCACAAGAAGTGGAAGAATACTTTCTGAAAAAGAATACAAACTAAATATCATGAAACGAGATCACCAAAAATATATCCGAGAATGCTTGGCTCAGGCTATTTTTCATAAAGTTCTCGATATGGAGGTACAACTATTTCCTATTTTCTTTATAATTGCTATTTAGTACTATGATAATTAGTAATTCTTCTGTACCCAGAAGCAGAGGGATTCTTCCTGTATTTCATTAAAGGGAAATGAACAAGAGGGCCTGAGAAATTCTCTATGTCTCTCTAGGTTAGCCAGGAGCCAGGAGCCTAAAGTAAGTTTTTTTTCATTTCAGATGGGGAAAAATATGGACATCATTATATATTTTGTGATATTTAATTTTCCAAATGTAGATTTTTAATCCGTAATGGCTACTCTAAAACATACCAGCCCTCGCCATCTGTACCTCAATTTTCATTTGCTAAAAAAAAAGTGACATATGTTTAAATATCAGTAATTCCATTACCATGAATTATTTCAGATCTGTTATCCTTTTCAGGCTCTGAAGCTAGCCGTATGCTAAGTTTCAAGGAATAGGCATTGAAACATCTGCTGTTCCTCCTACTTTAGGCCACATTGGTCAGCATGGATTTATAACCCAACCATCAACAATTTTTTTTTAATCTGCCATGGCATTTTTAGTGGGACATCCAGCTAACTTAATAAATTATTGTAGCCTTGTTCCATGGAACTTGTAGTTTCAAGCATCAACACCATTTTAATCTCTGTGAAAAAAAGTATGTCATTTCTTGGCTTGAACATACAGTAGCAAATCAGAAAACTTGCTCGTAAAACCATTGACCTGTGAGTGCGGTAAACATTTATGAACAACTGTAGAATCATCAGGAAACCAATACTATGTGTAGTGCCACAGAAAATATTTATTATTACAATTACATTGTACTCAGCAAGTGTTCTATTCATTTAAGATATGTATAATCTGTTAATTTAGGAACTCATTTTTTGTTTATATCATGTACATGAATTACATGGAATCATTGTTTAAGGGCCCCAAATTTACTTGCTTTTAAAAGAGATGGTTTTTTGAATTTGAAACAAACAAAAATAAATATTTGTTGTTTTTGTTTTTAGGTGCCACACCCCTTATACAACACAATGAAACATTTCCCAGTCCTGCACCATTCTCGCAATCGTTATGTTTGAACCCATTGTTGCAACCACTGTATCAATCCATCTTGTTGAGGGTCTTCCTCTTTTTCACTGACCCTCTACCAAGTATGATGTCCCAAGGACTGGTCCCTCCTGTTAACATGTCCAAAGTATGTGAGACAAAGTCTCGCCATTCTTGCTTCTAAGGAGCATTCTGGCTGTACTTCTTCAAAGACAGATTTGTTCGTTCTTCTGACTATCCATAGTATATTCAGTATTCTTTGCTGATGCCATAATTCCAAGGCATCAATTCTTCTTCTGTCTTCCTTATTCGTTGTCCAGCTTTCCCATGCATATAAGGTGATTGAAAATACCATGGCTTGGGCCAGGCATCCCTTAGTCCTCAAGATGACATCTTTGCTTTTTAACACTTGAAAGAGGTCTTTTGCTGCAGATTTGCCCAATGCAATACATTATTTGATTTCTTTACTACTGCTTCCATGGGCATTGATTGTGTATTCAAGTAAAATGAAATCTCTGACAACTTAAATATTTTCTCTGTTTATCATGATGTTGCTTATTGGTCCAGTTGTAAGGATTCTTGTTTTATGTTGAGGTGTAATCCATTGTCTCAGTCATCTAGTGCTGCTCCAACAGAAATACCATAAATGGACGGCTTTAACGAAGAGAAGTTTATTCTCTCACAGTCCAGTAGGCTACAAGTACAAATTCAGGGCATCAGCTGCAGGAGAAGGCTTTCTGTCTCTGTCAGCACTGGAGAAAGGTCCTTGTGATGCATCAGTCTTTCCTTGGTCTGGGAGCTTCTCTGCGCAGGAACCTCAGGTCCAAAGGACACACTCTGCTCCCGGCACTGCTTTCTTGGTGGTATGAGGCTCCCATGTGTCTCTGCTCACTTCTCTCTTTTATATCTCCAAAGAGATTGCATTAAGACACTATCTAATCTTGTGAACCTGATCAGTATAACCTCATCACAGTGATAGAATTTACAGCACATAAGGAGATCACGTATAACCTCATCATAGTGATAGAGTTTGCAATACATAAGGAAATCACGTCAGATTACACAATCATACAATACTGGGAATCATGACCCAGCCAAGTTGACAGATATTTTAGGGGGACACAGTTCAATCCATGACATCCATACGGAATTTTAGAAATTATTTATTCACAGAAAGTTACAATGCATAACACAAATATGGTATAGAAATTTTAGTATAGGGTAATAGATGTTTAATTATATATTTTTTGGAGTCAGGTTCGTCAGTTATATTCTTGGAAATAATCTAAGAATAGCATTGTGATGTAGAATTAAGCCAAAATAAATTTAAGTACTAGAAATTCTTCTAGAGTTCAAACTGATTCTGAATAAGTGGAAGACTTTGAATGTCTAAGGAATTTGGACCCTGAAATTGAGGATAACATGGAATAATCAAAATTTTTGGATACTTAGTTTTTAGTTTCATACAGGATAATTTTGTATATGGAGACTGTGTATAACAGAGAAACCAGAGGATATTCAGAGGCAGTTGAATAATCTGACAAATTGGATCTTTAAGTGATCCCCACTAGAGTATTACATGAAATCCTAAAACTGTGGTTAAAAAAATAAATACTTAAAAAAAAAAGAACCTGTTGCTGTGGAGATGATTCCAATTCATAGTGACCCTATATGACAGCGTAGAACTGCCCACAGGGTTTCCGAGGAGTGGCTGGTGGATTCGAACTGCCCACCTTTTGGTTAGCAGCTGAGCTCTTAACCACTGTGCCACCAGGGCTCAGAAAAAAAAAAGCATATTTAGCAGTTATTACGTATCATGATGTGCCAAATACGTAAAAACTTGAAAAAACCAAACTTAAAGGACCAAGGCTGAAACTGAAGTCAGTGTCTATTGATTAAGTTTGAAGTTAGGAACTGATTTTATACGATACTATTTATTTTTATCCTGTACTAATTTTATGCTATACTATTTATTTTTCATATCATACTATTTATTTTATACTGTACCAATTTTATACTATACTATTTATTTTTATACTGACTTCAGTTTTAACCTTGGTCCTTGAAGTTTGGGTTTTTCAAAATTTCACATATTTGACACATCATGATACATAATAACTACTAAATATGTTGTTCTTTGAGTTTACATGCGTTCTTCATGCAGTCTGTGATATGTAATATAATTTATATTTAACATGTATTAATTCTCGCCTTCCATGTGAGAGAGAGCTGGGTTTAATTCCCAGCCAATACACAATCACCACCATTACCTGCCTCTCAGTGGAGACTTGAATGTTGCTATGATGCTGAAAAGGTTTCAGCAGAGCTTCCAGTCTAATATGGGCTAGGAAGAAAGGCCTGGTGATCTACTTCCAAAAAATTAGCCAGTGAAACCCTGTGGATCACAACAGTCCAATCTCTTTTTTCATGGGGTCACCATGAGTTGGGGGCCGACTCAATGACAGTTAACAACATACAATATAAAATATATAGTATATAATATATGTTATATAGAAATTATATTAAATATTTTTATCACATTAACATTTATCTAAGATATTTATTCCAAGCTTTAATAGTATATATACATATATATACACATATGTGGAGTCCTGGTGGCACAGTGGTTAAGTGTTCATCTGCTAACCAAAATGTGGGCCATTCGAATCTACCAACTGCTTCTTGGAAACCCTACGGGGCAGTTCTACTCTGTCCTATAGGGTTCCTATGACTCAAAATCAACTCAGCGACAACAGATTTGGTTTGGTTTTATATACATACATATTTATTGCTGTCTGCCATCCAGTCCCCATACAGTCTCCTAGGCTGTAATCACCAGGTCTTTTCTTCCAGGGAGCAGCTGGTGGGTTCGAACCACAGACCTTTAGGTTAGCAGCTGAGTGCTTAACCAGTGTATCACCAGGGCTCACATACAAATAGTATCTAATATCTGTTACATTAATATATTATATAATAGAACAAACTTTGAATATTCCTGGCTAAATTGTCCCATTTGTCTCACATTTAGTTTATGCTGGTGCTGTTTACTAATATTGCTGTATTAGTATTCCTGTATTCATTCACGCAGCAAACATTAATTGCTGGCTTACCATGTGCCAGTATGAGGCCGTTTGCTGTAGCTGCAGAGAGATATATAATAATAATTAAAAAGTACAGTAGAAAGTGATTAAGTGCTAGAAGAGGAACATACAGATTGAGCCCAGAAAAGAAGGGAATGATGATTCCTCTGTGGGAGCAGGAGAAGCTGAACAGAGGTCTTGCTATTTGAACTGGATCTTGAAGTCTGAGTGGGAGCTCACCACATGAAAACGAGGAAAAGACATTCCAGAGAGCAAAGACTGCGGGTGTGAAGCTATAGAGGTGGGAAAGGACCTTATGGGTAGAAAGAAATGCTCACAGAGGCCAGATGCACAGTCCACTGGAAGGCGTGGCAGGAAGTGACACTAGGTTGGGGCTGTTTCTGGAGAGTCTTTTCTTCCCAACTAGGTTTGCAGTGTGGAGCCCTGGTGGTTCAGTGATTAAGAGCTCAGCTGCTAACCAAAAGGTCGGCAATTCGAATCCATCAGCCACTCCTTGGGAACCTAATAGGGCAGTTCTACTCTGTCCTATGTGATTTGGAATCAACTTGATGGCAATGGGTTTGTTTTTTGTTTTTTTAGTTTTTAGGTTTGCAATGTAGGTGCTAAAATTCTTTCCAGCAGGAGAGTGAAATAAATGAACGGAGTTGTTTTATAAAGATGTTGTTGCTAAAAATGTGGAAGATGGTTTAATGACCTGGAAAAGATTGGAGGTGGGAGGTCAATTAGGAGTTTTTGCCAAAGGGTGTGGACTAACAGTAGTAGTGGTAAAGCTGGGAGATGCAGCTGTCCACAAAGATACTGAAGAAACAAATGAAAAGATTTAAACTGATGGTATGGGATGGGTAAGGGAGAAGACAGAGTCCAGAACAACTCTTGTCAGTGATATGTACATCATGGGAAATCAAGAGCAATCATATGGGCTGGAGAGAAAACTTCAAGTGGTAGAACAGCATGCCTGATGTGATGGTGTTGTGGAAGCCAGGAGGCCACCACAGCCTTGAGTATTGGAAAGAAAAGAAATTGGGTTTGACCCAGAAGACAAAGACTTTGATGGCCTTGGTGAAAGTGGTCAATGGTGAAGAAGAGGAGGGATGGTAGGGGTGGGTGACTGCAGTGAGTTGGGAATAAGTGGAAGATGAAAAAATGGTTGATAATGTATTTAGTAAAGTTTGGTGATAAGTAAGAGAACAGAGAAAGAGGGAGAGAAGAAAGGGAATGTCAAGAAGGGGATGGATGATACTTAGGTAGGGAACAGTTGAGGCTAACCCTAACCTAATTTATTGCTGTCAAGTCGATTCCGACTCATAGTGACCCTATAGGACAGAGTAGAACTGCCCCGTAGGATTTCCAAGGAGTGGCTGGTGGATTCGAACTGCCACCTTTTGGTTAACAGCTGTAGCTCTTAACCACTGTGCCACCAGGCCTCCCGATTGAGGCTACAGGGTCCCAAATGTAGCAGAAGGGGATCAAGCACAAAGGAAAAATATTTTTTCAAGGGGCCAATAAGTAACTGATAAATAAAACATCCTCAAATATGTCTGAATGATTTAAAAAAGAATTGTAAACAGATTTATTTTTATGTGAGGTTTATTTTTAAATTATGAAATTAATATATTACAGAAAATTTGGAAAATAAAAAAAAGTATCAAGAAGGAAAGTAATCACACTTAATTCCTTCTCTCCAAGATAGTCGCTGTTAACATAGTCATATTTCCTTTTAGTCTTTTTTTCTTCTATTTCTGTTTACATGTTAATAACATGATACTGTGTGTGAGAGACTCGGTTTAGCGGAAAACACCTGAACGTTAGAGTCAGATAGTCAGGGTTCAAATTTCCACTGCTGACTAGGTATGTGACCTGGGATAAGTTCATGATCATTCTGCCTCAGTTTTCTCATTTGTAAAACGGGACTGCTTGTGATTAGAGTTGTTCAAGATGATACTCCTTCCTAGTATGTGCTGGATCAATTAAATTGCATTTCTGCACAATTCCGTATCCTGCTTTCTGTCTGCTTTACCTGCATTTTCCAGTTTTTTAAATAAATTATAAATATTTAATTATTTTAATTATTTTAATTATTCTATTTTAATTATTCTATTCTATCATATGAATGAACCAAATGCTTCACCATTCTCTCCAATGTTCATTGCTTCTGAGGTTTTGCTATGGTAAGGGAAAAACAACTTTCAGACAGCATTTGCGTAAGACATTTATTTTATTATTCAGATTTCACCCTCAGTTTAGAAGTGAAATTTATTGGTTAGAGGGTATGAACACTTTTAACTGCCTAATATATATTAGGAATTGGTTTTCCAAAGACTTGTACCAATTTATATTCCCACTTGCATACTTATGAAGGTGATTATCTCCATCTCAGTACACAAGGGGTACATTTAGAGAATACAGTTAACTGTTGCGATTATTTTCCTCCAAAAAATTATTTGCTATCATTGATATGATTCTCTCCTCCATTCTTTTCTGTATGCTTAGCGTTATCATCAGCTTGAAATAAAAAAGAAACTGGAGACCTTAGCTAGGAAGGAGCGAGTTCAGAGATTTAAGGTAAGGAACCACACAACCCTGTTTTACTTTGTGATGTTATTTTATCATTTCGAAAGCCAATGGTGCTATCATTGAAGCTCCTTGGGGCCCTTTACTTTCGGGTAACTCATCACTGAGGTCAAATTATGGTTCGTCCAAGCCTGATTTTGGCCATCATCATTAGAGAATACCGTACAGAACACAGAACTGGAGCTGCTTGTGCAAAATAAATTTTAATAAGACACAAACTTTTAAAAGAAAAACTTAAAAATATTCTCAAATTTGAAATGTTGGATTTGTAGATTCTTGATTCATACGTGATAGAGGCCAAATTTTTTTTTTTTGTTTGTCTTAAGAAGGTGAAAAATAGATGGTGATGTTACTGACATGACGGAAAACAGGGCATTTTAAGAATTACACAGCGGCACATTTTCATAAGAATACGACCCTTGAAAATATATGGTAGGAAAGGTCTGCCATGGCAAAAGAAAGCATAAAACGATTTAGGTATTTTGTAAAGGGCATTTTTAAATTCCTTGTTTCGTTTCTAATTTTGTATTTGATATCCCTTCATTGCAGTGAACTTATGAAATACGTAAATTTACATCAAGAACTGAGAGGTTCAGTTGGGCTAATTTGAAAGTTTTCCATTTAGGTTGGCAGTTTTACTCAATTTCTTGAGCCATTCAGACTCACATGCTGTTCTTAATTTTCTGTGCAGTATTACAAATGTGGGGCCTAAACCACATCTCACAAACTGATGAATATTTTTAAAGCTTCTGTGGACTAACTGGCCATATAAGACCATAATTTTTCCCTTTTGCCTGATAGACTTAAATCTGTCCATTCTATCACGGTCAAAAGATAATCATGTTACAAAACTGTTGTTATATAACAGAAGGTAGGTCAGTTTTGCAACATCAGAGAAGTTGGTGTGCAGGAAGTTTTGGTTACTTCAACTTTGCTAATATTGTCCTATCTCAAGGACTGAGTTATAGATCCTATAATTTATCTGCTGAAATGTTGATGGAGAAAAATCATTGCTGGAATTGAAGCACTGCCTGAATCAGTGTCAGCTATTGCATCTATGCTTCATTCACACTCATCCACACTTAGACACACGTAGCTGAGTGCAGGGGCTTGCTACGGAATTGGGAGAGGTTCGCTATAGACACGCCAGTTCCTCCCTGCATGATTTTTATTTGTAACAATTTTTAATTTATAGCTCCATCTGGGGAAAGATGTTTTAGGTTCTCTTTATTTATTATGCCCCTTTTTTGTTTATGGCCTTATTAGTTATTTTTTGTTTTTTCACTTCTTTGTGGTAAACTGTGTATAACATAAAATTTTCCATTTACACCAGTTTACAAGTGTACAGCTCAGTGGCGTTCATGACAGTCACAGTGTTGCACAACTTTCACTACTATCTACTTTCAAAATTTTTCCATTACCCCAAGTGAAAACTATCTGATTATTTTTAAAGGTAGAAAAATACTTTTTGGTATTCTCTTCCGATTGGAATAGTGAAGAGTATTGTGCTGCTAATAGCAATCTGCTTAAAGCAGATTAAGAAAAATATTCTTGTCAGAAGTGAGGATATACTTCTTCTGTTGCTATTTCTTTAAGTACAGCGTAAAACACACTCAATTTTTTGCTCTTCACCACCATACCTAACTCCTCGGTACAGCTGTGAAATCTTTTGCTGACTACAGGTGGCACAGTGATTAAGAGCTCAGGCTGCTAACCAAAGGTCAGCAGTTTGAATCCACCAGCTGCTCCTTGGAAACCCTGTGGGGCAGTTCTACTCTGTCCTATAGGGTTGCTATGAGGTGGAATAGATTCCACAGCAACGAATTTGGTGTTTGGTTTTATGACAAGCCTCAGAAGTAACACTTTTGAAAGGAATATGAAAGGACTTCTTTAGTCATTTGGTATCGCTTACATGGCAGGCACAGCTTAACCTAGTTTACTAATTATGCATCTATTCTCTACATCACTTTCTTTTTCTAGGGGGAGCCCACCAGATGGTCTATAGAAAATAACATGCCATTCCTGTCTCCCCGCCCACCAGTTGGCCAGAAGAGTAACCTAGGACATAGTGTTCTGGTTGATGAAGGACATCCCAGTCCGTTAACACTGGTAAGTCATATTAAACATGCACTATCTCAACTAATTGGAGCCCTGGTGGCGCAGTAGTTAAGAGTTTGGCTGCTAACCAAAAAGTTGGTAGCTCGAATCTACCAGCCGCCGCTTGGGAACCCTATGGGGCAGTTCTACTGTGTTTTATAGGGTCACTATGAGTCAGAATCGACTTGATGGCAACAGGTTTGGTTTGGTTTATCTCAACTAATTAGGAGCCCTGGTGGCTCAGTGGTTAAAATGCTCGGCTGCTATCTGAAAGGTCGGCAGATGGAATCCACCAGCCATTCCCCAGAAGAAAGACGTGGGAGTCTGCTTCTGTAAAGATTTACATCCTTGGAAACCCTATGGGGCAGTTCTGCCCTGTCCTATAGGGTTGTTATAAGTCAGAATCAACTCGAAGGTGGTGGATCTGGTTTGGTATCTCAACTAATTTAATTTATAGTTTTTAATTACTCTCAGAAAGATTGCTCTCTAGGAATGTGTGTTTATAATCCTGAATATCCTACTGAACAAAAACAGTCTTATATCTGTTCACTGTGTTTCCACCGAAATCCTGCCCCCAATCAATATTACCCCTGTCAAATCCATTTCACGTGTTACTGCTAGATTAGCTGCCTGAAAGGCAGATTACTTGTGCCACTTACATGCCCCGGTACTTTCACTGGCTGTGTGTCACCTATAGAAAAGCCTAGGCTCTTTCATGTGACACTTAAGACCCTAAACCATATGACTCCAATTTAGCAATCCCAATACTGTTCCCGATGATTACCCTTTATGCACCCTACAATGCAGTAAAATTGAACCATTGGTTGTCCCATACATGTTCTATGTTTTATGACCTTTGGATATTGTTCTTATTTTCTCAGTTCCCGCTTTATCTGTAGAGCTTATTTATGTGCAGAGATTCAGTGGTAGAGCATAGTATATTAGTCCAGATATTAATACTTGAGTTTCTTTTGTGGAAAGAATGTGTACATACTCTAAGATAAAAATAATGAAATGTACAGAAATTCGATTTAAAGAAACGGCACACTGACATTTGAGTCCAGTTTAATTCATTTATAATCTAAAGGTGGTATTTGCTTGAAGGAAGGTAAGGAACCTTGAAACAATAAAATACAGGAAAAGATTTGCAAAGTATTTTCTGTAGGTTGATAGTTTAACTTGTAAATGAATTGCTCGATCATGTCTTTATTCTTGTTTTGTGTAGCCTAATATATTCCCTTGTTAGCATGCACATTTCTTTGGACTGCACAATATTTGTAGAGAAATCATAATGCTTTCACAGATTGAAAAAGTAGGTTCATCACATATAGTGCCAAGCTTTGACATTTTTCAAAAGGTAAATATGTTTTTGCATTTCCTGATGAACAGCTCAAGTTATGAAAAGCAACCGACTTCCCTTTGTTGTTACCATATTTCCAGGTTTGGTTTGAATATATACAGATACACAAATAATTCCTTCATGAAATGGCAAATTCACTAGACTCTCAAAAGCTTAACCGGGAGAAACAAAAGAAACAATCAAGTGCTGTTTTCTATCTTTTCACCTGTTTCAGAGAGGAAAAACCCTTGAAAGGCTTCCTTTTCAATTTTCCAGCTGAACACTCTCAATAAATAGTTTATGATACATCCAGGAGTTCTTAATGTGGCAGGAGTGAGAAAGTAATTTAAAAATTACAGGAAACACTGCAGCAGCACTTTAGAAGCCTTTTCATCTTCTAAGCCACAGTTCCTCACTTGGCTACCCCTATGTTGCTTTTGCACCATGAGGAGCACCTACTAAGGTCTTGGAATTATAGTTCCCATTTTACAGAAGTTTCAGTCTTTATTTTTGTCTTCCCAATCTTTATATCCATTAAATTTGACCCCTGACCTCTAAGTGCCATTGAGGTGAAGATAATAATCCTTTGGAGATATCACCATTGAGTTCTCTTTTTAAACTTTCTTGAGTGAATAAGGAAAGCAATCCGGACAATAGTTATTGTACCTGGTCACCAAATGCTGCTAAACTTTCAAAATAGCCTGTAAGTTTTTAGCTGTACCATTCCCATTAAAACTGTGGAAAGTCATTCAGCTAATTCTGCTTGAAAAATTCACCCCCAGAGATCTTCCACTAAGAATTAGAAGTGCTCAGCTAAGCTAAGCGATCATCAAGTAGTCAATTTCGATTTACATTCTGGTACAGTTTTGAGAACGTTAAGCTACAGTGCCATATTTATTCCAAGAAAATATGTTATGAACAATTTAAAATATAGCAAATTTAAGGTAGCTTCTGATGTTCATGAGAACAGTTTGAAGCTCCCAGCTGTTTGTTAATGGTACAGATTTGTTTTCAGAGAGAAATGTAATCAGTTAAACATCTGACTGCCACATTCATCTAACTGAATGATATTTGTATGCAAATGTGGAGAAATAAAATTCAGAACACAACAGCCAATAGATCATGTTCTAGTTTGCAGGAAACTGCTTTCTTGATTTCCTATAGCAGATTTTCAATGTTTTTGTGTTCAGTTGGATTATTTGACAGTAGAGAGTCTTAAGTCATGTTTGTTTTACAGATTTCAAAAGAAATCTGTTGAGTAACGTCTAGTTTGATTTCTCTTGTGGGTTTTAAAACTTTTCACCTTTTGTCCCATATGTGCTTATCTCTAGTTTCTTTAAATCAAATGTCACTGTAGTCAATCCAGTTGGCTTCTTGTATTAGTTGTGATGTAGGATTGCATGCAGACTCCACATAGCAATGTCTTAAACGTGTCTCCTCCTCAACACACACACACAAAAAGGATCTCAGCTGATGTGACATGTCTACCCTATGAAGCCATCAAGAGCCCAGACTCCTTTTATGTCATTGATCTACCAAATATAGGGTGTTGCTTTCATCCACATAGACCAAGAGATGGTGTGTGACTATATGGATATTTCAGTCAGAGGGAAGGGGAAAAGGTGAAAGTGGGGGCAGAATGTGGAAGTTTTGTGTATCACTTCTGCTCATATCTTACTGGCCAAAATGAAGGCACAGAGTTGCAAAGAATGCTGAGAAATTAGTCTTTATTTAGGATAGCCATGTTCCCTGCTAAAAATTCTATTATTAGCAAATAAAGGAAAACATATTGGGGAATGATAATTATCTTTGCTACCCTACTCATGTCTTGCTCACAACTGACGTTAAAGCACTCTTCTTACATGGATGTTCAAACTTGCTATTCCTCTTCTTTGAGCATCTGTTTTATTTTCTTGTTGTTTTTCAAACACATGGAACAATAGACTGCCTCAGGGCCTGTATACTTTTTCACTTCATCATGAAATCTCTGCTCCTATGACATGCTTTTCAAAGATGACACTAAAACTGATTTTTGGTAGTAAGAGCTGCCTAATCATCGTTTTTAATGCATGTGCACACACTTTCTTGGGGTTAAATATTTGTTGTTCACCATTACACTTCTTTAAAGTCAATGTACTCAGCCTTACATATCATCTCTCAAACCCTCTTACCAAAACATGCAAGTATTATTCTTGACAGGTTTTATACTACCTTGTTGCTATAGGGTCGCTATGAGTCAGAATCGATTCTACAGCAACGGGTTTGGTTGTTATAGAACAACTGGGCCCAAAGTCTCATTTTTCCACTTTTGAAACATTGCTAATCTTTACGTTAAACTTAAAATATTCTGTCAGTGCCCTGAAAGGCACTGCTAATGCTGTGTACTGACACGTTTGGTATTCTTTGCAGAACATTCTTGACTGGAAAGTGCACCAGTCAGGATCTCAGCAGGGAACAGATGGCTCACACAAACAGGGTAATTAGGAAGTGTTTAATAAAGAAATTATTTACAAAGATGCAGACCAGGTTAACAAAAATTAACTACAGATATTGAGCATACAGGGGTCAGCAAAATAGTAAGCCACACCACCTAGGTCTAAGGAGCAAGGGAAGGGTTGAATAGTAGAACCAGCAGAGAGTACCTGTAACTGTAGAAGAGTGCTTCCCAACAGGAGCTGTGGATTTTGGTAGAGGGAGAGGCCCAGCTGGCCCACCATAACCCTGCTGGGCAGGATTCAGGAGAATAAAGATCCCAACCTCCTTCTCCTCCTGCCCTTTGATCTACTACTAGTGCCTCTCATTGGGTGACTCCAACTGGAATCCTGAGATTAGTTACTGTAATCCATAAAGGAATGACCCCCAGGGCCCAGAGCAGGGCAGAGAGTAGGGAGGAGAATAGACTTAGATGGGCAAATAGACAGTACCCAGCACGGAAACCATCCCTTTTTCTCCCAGTGTCTTCCAAAGTTGCCAGTTACTATTTTTTAGTTTTGTTTTCTGAATATTTCAAGGAACAGGTTGAATAAATGGTAATGAATTGCAGTCAAACATCCACTTTTCCTCTTTTATTGGAGTTGTATTATCTGCTTTTGCTTCAGCACTGATCTTAAGGCTTAAAGGACACACGGTAGAATTTATGTTGAAAACATTGAAACAGAAATGAGTCCATTCCAATAATATCCCTTTAGATTTCTAAAGTAGGAACATTATTCAACTTAATGTTTAATTGAGCAAAGGCATTCTCTGCATAGCATAAATTAGGTATTGTTGGTGAGTTACAGTATGAATAAAAATACAGGAACACGATAGAGGACATCTCCTTTGTCTAGAATACTTTATAATTGTGGCACTTAGTTACGTAGAGGGCTTCAACACCATATGTTTTAACAAATACTTAGGGTCATAAGGGAATGTATAATGGAAGGACGTAATTAAAGTTTAATCTGTTCAGTAAAAAGGCACCATTAATTACTCTAGACAATTTGTTGGCTTATTAATTGGTTCTGGAGACATGTCAAGATACTAATTTAAATGGAATTTTTTTTTTTCCCCCAATTGTCTAGACAGCCTCCCGACCATATACTGCCCCAGGAAATATGCAGCCTCCAATTCGATTGCAGCCTCTTTCCAGTAATCCTTCAATAGGAACTGTTCCAAAGATAACCTCGGGGCCAAGATCAAAAACCTCATTGCTGGAAAACGGAGCTCCATTTCCTATTGGGGTAAAAGTTATTTATTCAAGAGATACCTTTTTATACTTGATTAGAATATTAGGTTATCACAGTTTTTAAGATGCTATATGTAATCTACTCAGTGAAATTTATGTTGTGTATTTATTAAGCACCTACTATGTACTGCTGTTTAATTATATTTTATTCTGACTGGAAATTCTATTCTCTCTGTGCAAGAAGAATAAGGAATAGATTTGTAATAATGTAAGGTGATAGCTCATTAATTTGAAGGACTTATTGAAAAACAAGGAAGAAAGACTTTTTATAGCCAGACATGACTTCTATCAGAATAGACCCAGTGTTGACTGCTTCCAAATTTTAAATGCATGAAACCTAGAAAATGAAACTTTCCAAGAATAGATTTGCATTTGCATGCTGACTTACTTTCCCATCAGTGTATGAAATTGTCTCAAGTTTGACTCTTGAGAAGGTTGAATATAGGAGGAAAAGAATGTCCATCTTTTAAAAATGCTAAGTTAATCACACACAGGAGCTTGACTCTGCTTCCCTTTCAAGGCTATGTCTCAGGTAATTTTCCCTTATTTTAATAGAGCACAGGAAGGAGGTATGGAAACCATAAAATATGAGTTACTTAAACAGGTAGGAATAACCAAGGCTCAGTAATTAGGCAGGGTTTTGTTTGTAGTTCTAATGTGAAGAAGAAACTTTTACCAGCTTAAGAAAGAACCTGTGTCATGAGTACAAATGTCATTATGTTCAAATGGATGAATTTAGTTGCATTCCTTATTAGGAAGCACAAGACATATGAAATTAAGATATTTTTATCTTTAACTGACAGATAACCTTGACACTAAGAAATTAATTCAGACAAATAAATTACAGTGTTTGACAGTAAAAGTATAAATATAATTCTTAAAATAACAAATATTTTAATCCATTTAATGTACTTTTCAGCTTGCAAGGCACTTTTCACAAACCTTGTTTTGGTTGATTTAATGGTAGTTTCTCAGAAATCAGGTGAAATTAATTGAAATGTGGTAGAGCTTGGCTTAGGGAAGAGTGCTTAGAATGAGGCTGGAACTTGTTGGGTTGTAAGTCAATTAGGTTGGCACTCTCTAGGATACGGTCTTCATACTGAGGGCCCAGAGATTTCCCATTTCAACCAATGTCCAGGAATGAGTGTCCAGCCTGAGAGATTGTCTCAGACTACCTAGAATAATCCTCATAACAAACTCATTTTTCCCACTGTAGTAATCCAAAACAGGGAGCCAAATCAAAATCAAGAGTCATTTTATTAATTCACCAAGAGATATCAGATGGTCAAAGCTTGTAGAAGCAGTGTAGTCTCCTCCTGTAGGCAGACCTACATGGGAAGCCAAATCACAATAAGAAGGTTGCCTGGTGAGCGTGGAATCAGAACAAAGGGATGTGATAGAATGGAATGTTTAGTGGCATCAGGCTAACATGACCTGATGCACTCATCTCATCCAGGGAATGGGTTTGCCAAGGATACCAGAAAACTCAAAGGTCTTTGGCTGAAATCCTCTGTATCCTTCTGAAATGACTTTGCTACTAGGACTAGAGATATTCAAAGGCCAATGGGTGGGAATTCCTCTCTCTTAGATAGTACTTGGGTGGACATATTCCACATTTGCGAAGGTGATTATATATTCTTTATATAAAGTTCCTTTGATTGACACACTTGCTGTTAGATATGTGAATGATATCAGTCAGATAATATTCAGTTTCTGCTGGCTAGGGAGAGGTTTTTTTTTTTTTTCTTTTGCTTTTAGGTGATTTTCCAAATCTGCTCTGAAACACTGGATGTATTTGCTAATTAAGTTCATACAGGGACTTATATTATCTGGTTCCAAGTTGTTGGGATGTGGGTGATTGACTGATAAGCACTTAGTTTTAGCCCACATGAGCTGACAAGATTAAGATCAATTTCATGTTAGTTTTGACTAGCTAAGCTCACTTATTCAGTAAATATTTATTGGGCACTTACTATGGACTAGGCATTGCTGTAGGCATTAGGGATATATCGACTATCAATGCAGACAAACATATTTAAATTATTAGAACTTATAGTGTAATGGGAAACCCTGGTGGTGTAGTGGTTAACAGCTACGTCTGCTAATTAAAAGGTCAGCAGTTTGAATCCGCCAGGCACTCCTTGGAAACTCTATGGGGCAGTTCTACTCTGTTCTATAGGGTCGCTATGAGTCGGAATCGACTCGAATGCAACAGATTTCGGTTTTTTGGTTTATAGTGTGATGAAGGAGCCCTGGTAGCACAGTGGTTAAAACACTCGGCCGCTAACTGAAAAGTTGGCAGTTGCAACTCACCAGCTGCTCTTTGGAAGACGATGTAGCAATCTGCTTTCGTAAAGATTGTAGCCTTGGAAACCCTACGGGACAGTTCTACTCTGATCTATTGGGTTGCTGTGAGTCAATCGACTCGACGGCAACTTTTAAAAAAAAAAATATAGTGTAATGTACATACGCAAAAATATGTCAGAAAAGGCATAATTTTTTTCAATGGCATTGACAATGACAATGATTTAATATAAAATCAGACAAGGAATTCCTAAAAAAGAATAGTATTCTGCATAATAGCTAAGTATGTAGTGAGCACCTAATAAATTCTTACTGCTTTCTTAAAAAATAAAGGATGTGCATGTGGGAAGTGGTTGCCGATGAAACAGACATAAGCGTATTAAACTTTTCTAAGTATCAGGATTGAGACTTTTTGATTTAGGAAAAAGTAATTTGGTGAAAAACAGGCTAATTGAGATGCAATTGGAGTAAAAGTAATGACATGAATGAAAATGAATGTCCTTAGAACAAGGGCTTCTCATACACTACTGGTAGGAGTGTAAACTGGTATAGCTATTTGTGAAGGTAATATGGTACTATCTTATCAGTCTTTTAAATGAACATGTCGTAGCATTTTAACACAAATTTATCCTAGGAACATACACATATGTACAAAGAAATAGATTCAAGAATGTTTAGTAACGTAATATTTGAAATACTGAACAATTGGAAGACACCTAAGTATTTATTAATAGAGTATTACCTTAAAATGCTGTAGTATATTATAGTAAAGTGTGATAGTGTGTTAAAGTACATTTAAAAAGAAAGAATAAAGTAGAATGGTTTGTGCTGACATAGAAAGATATCCCAGATGCTTTGGGCTAAAAAAAACAAGATAAAGAACAGCATGTTATTTTTTTTTTTTAACTAAACCATTTTCAAACAAAACATGTAATTGACTGATACCTACTTGGAAATCAGAAATAAAATCTCCCCAAGCCCCAAAAGAGCTGGATTAATTGATTTTATTGTTTCTATTATTTTCATTTGTTGTTACAATATCAATGTACACGATCAGATAAAAATTGGAAAATATGAGAAAATAAGAACATAACACCTGCAATAGCACCCATTCTAACAATTCTAAACACCTTGGTGAAAATCTATTTAAATCCTTTTCTGTTTACATAAATGTTATTTTCAATCAAAATTTGGACCACACATGACTTTATTTAATCTGCTTTTACTTATTTAGCAATTAAAAATGTTATAATTGCTGTCATGAATTGAATTGTGTCTCCCTAAAATATCTGTCAACTTGCCTAGGTCATGATTCCCAGTATTGTATGATTGTCTACCATTTTCTAACCTGATGTGATTTCCCAATGTGTTGTATACTCTATCACAATGATGTAATAAAATGGATTAGTGGCAGTTATATTGATGAGCTATACAAGATTAGATAGCGTCTTAGGCCAAACTCTTTTGATATATAAAAGACAGAAGCAAGCAGAGAGACTTGAGAACCCATACCACCAAGAAAGCAGTGCCGGGAGCAGAGTGCATCCTTTGGACCTGAGGTTCCTGTGCAGAGAAGCTCCCAGACCAAGGGAAGACTGATGCATCACAAGGACCTTCCTCCAGAGCCGACAGAGAGAGA